ATATATATATATATATACTGTGCAACTATTTCTTTCTTTTTCTTTTTCTTTCTTTTCTTTCTTTGTGGGTGTGTGTGCCTTTTATTTCCCCTCAATTGCCCTGCAGCCGCTTCTTCGGCACACACGTGTAGACAATCGCGGTTTTACTGGGCGACCCTCCGTACCTTTCTTCTTGTTTCCTTTAATAATTAATATTATTATTAATATAATTATAATAATAATAGTAATAATAATATTATAACCCATAAAACGCAAAAGTACACACAAAAAAAGGCAAAGTAAGAAGTGATTATCAAATAATTGGTATTACATTAAGATGGAAAGCAGAAATAATAATAATAATAATAATAATAATAATAATAATAATAATAATAATAAAAGAACAGTGAAAAACACTCAAAAATCAAGGCAATCTTAATTACCCGTACGCTAGTCTAATAACAAAAAAAGATCAAAGAGAAACATAATTATTTCCCCTACTTATATATATATATATATCACTCTCTCTCTCTCTCTCTCTCTTCATTCATTGACTTTGTTGTCAAATTTATCCTTTTTTTTTTCTTTTTTAATGGATTTATTTTTATCTTTGCGTCTGCCTATCTCTTACTAAAGAAGGCAGTATATATATATATATATATATATATATATATTCTTTGCTTTGCGCTCGCTCGCACTATTTAAAAAAAAAAAGAAAAACACATTTGTGTTTTTAAATATCTCACATTTTGTTATCACTATCCCACTTTCTCACTTTCTTTCTCTCTCTCTTTCTTTACACTTTGCCCATTAGTGAACTTTCACCCCGTAATCGTCGCAGCTCCTCTTCTGTTACCGGCACACGATTACTCTCCAAACTGAGTTCCACCAACTTCTGCATTTTATAATGTCGATAACAGAAGGCAAACACGGCAATCGTGCCAACAAATCCCAACACCGAAAGAACAATCGTCCCCGGACTCGCCTTCACAGTTGTGCCTAAAATAAATTGAATATCACGAAAAGTATCCGCAGGAACTTCCGTACTTTCAGAGAACCAAACCACCTTTTCTGTTGCGGTATAGCGAAAGGGTGGAGAGAGTTTAACATTCCAAGTGCCCACCACAATTGTGCGATTGGGTACTTGAATATCAACAGCAAAGGCGGCAAAATTACGATTTCCAGTCTTGTCAATTTCAAATGTTGGTGAGAAAATATCAATAGATGTGGAACGAATAAATGGCATAAGGTTTGAACTTTTGTTAAGACTAACACTTTTATTAACTGCACGATCTACCGCATTGATAACGGTATAGGCAGCATCTACTGCAAATGCAGAAACCGTTCGAATACTGGAAAGATTACATTGAGAGACTTGTATGGCAAATCCACCTTTAATTAATACTCGCATCTGTTCATTATAAAGTCCACTCTCCGTGAATTCACTGTTAATCTTATCCACACGATCTTTGGAAATATGTGGACGTACACAAAGAGAACTCTGAGCTTTATTCCGTTCTTCTGGATTTGTAGCTGCATATTGGCAAATTTCATTACTTAAAATAAAAACATATTTTTTCATAAATGAGAGTTCATCAAATAAATCAAACCATGTCTTTGCATCATCACCAAAAAGAGGTAATAAAACCACTACAATACGAGAGATATCAACTTTATAAATACTTTCCATTGTAGAAGTCATTTCTTCTTTATTAATAGCTGTAAGTTCATATACTTTCTCCACATGAATATTTCTCTGTTCCATAGACTTTTGAAGAGAATGTAAACGGGCATTTCCAAATTGATCATTATATACCACCACAATCACACGTTCCCAGGCAAAATAAGAACATATCTCACCATAAACCATATAATTAAACATATTATCAGGAATAGATCGTGAAAAATATGGATAAGCCAAACGATCTGAAAAGATAGTCTCAGCAGTATTAAAATCCACTTGAGTGATACCAAATTGATTAATAACAGGCGTTAGTGAAATAGCCACACGACCACGTCCAGGTCCAATTAAAACAGAACACGATCGAGCCACAGGTATTAAAGAGACTAATCCCTCTACTCCACTTAAACCCGTGTTAAAAGATAAGGGAATAAAAGTCGTAGCCCCTTTAATATTACTGGTGAGTTTATTATTCTGAAGAAATACATAGGTCATCGCATTAAGACTTTCCACTTCTGAACAACTGTTGGCGGCGGCCATACAAATTGTTACCGCACGTAAAGGAGAAGGTGCAATTAGAGCTGCAGTTGCGGTGGGATTATAATTCATCACTGCAGGTACATCCCCTAATTTAGGAAGATTCCATGAAATAAGAGGTTGATCGGTTGTGTAGGATTTAGATAAGAGTGAATAGATAATTCCCACACGTTGTCCAGTTATAGTATCAAAGGAAACACTACCCGTAAATCCTTGAAAGTTTACAGAACGAATAACAGTTGGAGATGCACTTCCTGCTAAAGCTACAGCCTGCATCGCATCAAATAAGTGACTTACAATATAAGCAGCATAGTTATCAAGATTACGATAATTAAAATATCCCTGTGTAATTAGTTTAGCAATAGAAGCATGTTCCGATACAAAGAGTGTTCCCCACAATTTGACAAGTGGTTGATAAGATCCTTGTAATTCATCCATCATATTTACAGCTTCTCGTGAACCAAATAAGATAAGATCATTCTCTTTTCCCAATCGAATAATAGCAGATCGAAGTCGACGAAATTCTTCTTCTGAAACAAAACAAAGAATTCCTACAGGACGAAAACGTAATATCTCATTTACGAGATTATCATCATCTTCTGTAGTTCCACTGGATGTAATGAAGAGTCTAGTCACTACAGTTGGGGCCGATCGTGCTAATGGAATTTGCGAATCCATTATAGACTCCACACCGGTTCCATACGCATCACTACTAAACACTGCGGCAACAGAGGACCATTGTAATTCAGATGATACCACTTCTAATGCCGCCCGTACATTAATAAGATCTCGTGGTACAAAACAAACGGTAGTGGGATTAGAACTTATTTCACAGAGTTTAGGATTTGATGTATGTGCAGAGATAATCGTTATACCCGAAGTTGAACTGTTTCGTTTTAATACATCACTTACACCTATAGAAACATCTGCACTTTCGGCTAGAAATAATACATCCAGACGTGTATTATTATCCGTTAATAATCGTTGTACTTCTGCGAGAGCCACTAAAAGACTACCGTTTGAATTTAAAATAACTGGACTTGGATCAAATACACCTTTCATACCAGCAGCCATAGAGAGACGCTCAATATGAGAATCAATAGCTGCACTGAGTGACTCTTCTGTTAACTTTGTACGTCTTAAATCAAGTAGAATAGCAGATCTAATCGTGGTTAACTGCCCTTGTACATATACAGTAGTCCATGCTAATAAGAACACTGATATCAGAAATGAGAAGGGAAAAACCTTAAATGATGTCATTTTTCTTTTTCTTTTTTTTTTTCTTTTTGATTTGATTTGATTGTCACTTATGTAGTTGTTCTTATTTCTTATTTCTTTATTTTGCTTTTGTTTTTTTTTTTTACTGACTCCTCGCTTTCCACTGTGTAGCAACTCTAGCACACTTTGGACCCCCTAATTGCACTCCTCTGTTATCGTAATACTTTGATTCAACCCTCTTTTTTATTTATTTTACTTTTTTATTTCTTTCTCTCTCTATGTGTGTGTGTGTGTGTTTGGTTTTCCACAACTCTTATCGCTATACAAGCCAGCCTAAGAGGCAATAGAAGTAAAGATAACGACCAGAAGGACAAAAAGAAAAAAAGAAAAGAAGAAGAGAAGAGAAAGAAAGAAGAAAAATCTATATTTTTTTCTCTATATATAGATAAATATATGGAGACATACCGATATATATATAGATAGAGAGATATCAATAAATAAATAAAAGAGAGAGAGAGATGTATAAAAAAGGGTGCATTCATTTCACTTCTCCCATTTTGTATGGGAAGAGCATGCAGTACAGGGAAAAGCAAATCAAAAAATGAGTGTTCATATAAACAACAAAGATCGAATACGTTCCTCTAATACATGGATTGTATTTTCCCTTCTTTTTTTTTTTATATCTTTTCTTCTTATTTTTTTTTTCTTTCTTCTTTTAATTTCTTCATGCTGCTACTCGTATTGATGATAGTGCTTTGTTTTTTCTCTCTCTAACCCTGAAAGAAGAAGAAAAAGAAGGCTCATGAAAACAATAATATATATAAAAAGAAAAAAAAGAAAAAAAGAGTTGTGACGTAAAAGAAATGAGAGTAATATTTGAAAAAAAAAAAAAGTAAAAATAAAAACAAGAAAAAAAAAACAATTTCTTTTCTTTCAAACAATCTGTTCTAGTTCTCACATTATCGTTCCATCACTTCAGAACTTCATCAACACTTCTTTTTTTTTTTTTTTTTTTT